TTCCGCGGACCTTCCGCGAAACCTCCACGAAGCCTACTGGCATTTTTCCGACCCTTTTTTTCCGCGGGCTCTTCCACGAACGTTTTCGTCTAAGGTGCTTCCGCAGCGATTCCGCGAAAAGGATCTCTAGTCTTCGGCATTATCCGTTCAAAATGGGATAAGAGCTTCCGCAAGAGCTTCGCAAGCGAAGTGCTTCCGCGAAAGCTTCCACGAGCTTCCGCTCGCACTGCGGGAGCAACTTTTCGGAAGTTGTCGCCGGCCGATTTCCAACTTTATTTCCACATCTATATAACTAACTTTCCTCTAGCGCGTATTTGTTTAGCAGCTTGAGTGGGTTGAAACACAACTGCAAAACATGACCCATGGTCCAACTACTGACACCATACTTTCGTGTGGAAATGGGGCTAACGAAAAGCCTGCTTACTAACAGACTGCTGCAGATATTCTGAGCTCCCGCTGAATCCTTAGGTCTCAAGCCTCCAAGAGGTTGTGACCGGCTTCCCGCAAGACAGCCGGCTCGAAGGCCTCAGTCCAAAATCGTTGAAATCAACTTCGCGTGTGTCAAATCGCCTTCGTTCAATATAGTGCCCAGCGGTCGAGGCGGCATCATTCCGCACAGACTTCTGCTCCCCAACTCTGTAGGCCTGCTCCCAACTTCCAATCATGCTGACATTCTCAAAGAGTGATGAGAACAATGCTGCTTGCCCATTGCAATGGAAATGACGTCTGGACCTGCCAACTCGCAATACAAGAACCTTCTTCAGGAATGGGTCCCACGCATCGCGCAAAAACGTCGCGTCTCTGCTTGCATATGAATCTGCCTTTGCTGTGCTATTGGACGTGTCGTTGTTGACAGGAGAGTCGCTAAAGCCCGTTTCAACCAAGGGCTCCAGAAACCGTGATGTTTGCTTCCCCTATGTCTGCTGACTGTTCAGCTCACCGGAGACTCGTCAAGCGCGTGATCGGGTGAGAACTCGCTCACTAGTTGCACAATGCTGTCTGGACAAGCCGTGATTCTTTCGGCTGGAACTTGTAGGGGCATGTGAAAAACAGACATAACGGCAAAAGGGTGCGGTCGCTAAAGTCACATGGCGGGAATAAATCCAGTTTCCAACTCCAACATATGCATGGACTTTGAAAGATTTTAGAACCAGGCATATACTGGACTGTGGCAATGCTATGCGAGATATGCAGCAGAAGGACGGATCGGCATCTTGCAGCTGTAAAGGCCTTGGCGATGTCCTCCAGGTATGGGATGTCAGCTGCCAGCCTCATCTCGAGCGCCCGTGAACCGGACCGTCCAGCTCAGTTTGTGTCTCAGGGATCCGGCACAAACCGGCAACCACGGCAGATTCCGTCCGAGTCCACCTGGGAGAAGGCACATGCGGCATTTGCATGGAACAACAACGAACACGCTCAAACCTCCAAAGGCAGGGACGAAGAAGCACAGCAGTGAGGGGGAGCCATACAGGCAGCACCTCGCATGACCGCACAATGCCATAGTGCTCCTCAAGGCTAGCCGGGGAGCCAAGTTAGGCACGACAACCAGGAATCAATGAGTGTCTGCGTCTCGAGCGGCGAATTGAGAGGCACCTTCCAACACTACAAACAAATTCTGGTGCACTCTCATTCCTCCTCCTTTTGAGGCAAACGCGACCAGCACAGCCGTGCGATCCTTTACAGCAGGCTACCAGTCTGGATGGATTTCAGATGCTTCGTCGTGTTTCGCGCTCCTCTGTTACATGCCGATGGTATCTCGGAAGAGTCATGTCTTGAGGCACGACCAATCGGCCTGCAGGTTTGAACCATCTCAATTTATCGGCAAGAGTTAAGAGCAAGCAGCACGGCGTCCTGACGTGGACTCCAAACTGGGAAAGCCCTCAGAATCGACGCAACAGGTATAGAGCTTCAGGATTTTCACGTGATTTCAAAGTTGGACCCGCTTTAGCCTTGAAGTCCCCTATAAGACTGTGTTTTGGGGCTCGGCTATTCAGGATCAGGGGTAATGATTGTGAGGTCTCCTACTATGTGTTTTGATTTATTGAGGGCCCTTAATTTCCATTTTTCTGGTGGCCCTATTGTAGGGGGAAGGGGGACCCCCAACACTGAAGAGGGTCCCACATCACCATGCCCTGCAGGCCCCGGCGCTTGAACGTGCGTCCATGAGTCGAAGCTGTGAGCTCCTGAAGACCCTCTTCCATCTCTTGGCTGCTTTTTGCTTCTTCAGGCTTCTACGAAATAAACCTACTCGTGTTGAAGCGTAGAATGTGTACAGCGCGGCCAACCGTCCAGCCTTGCGTCTGCCAAGCGGTCACCTGTAGCCCCGGACAAGCTCAAAAATGAAGCTACAAGATATTGGAGGCCGGCCGGGACTCATGGAGGGGGTGACCGCGACCAGCGACACTCCCTCGCGGACCTCAGCAAGGCGAGAAGAGGAATGCTTTTACACATGCTATGATTTGAAAGCTGATCTTGTAATGCAAGCAAAGCACTTGCCACTCGCAACAGGCTGCCATCGGAGCTGTTGAGGGACTTTCTAGGTTGACCTGCAGCAAAGCACATGCATTTCGAGGCTTTGCCTGGGGGGCTGCGGTGCATGCTTTTGCTAGAGCTGCTAGGCTTTTGATCGGATTTTGTTCACGATCTTTGCCGGAGACTCAACAAGCTCTCAAGCAACAGAACATTGACATGGGACTTGGTACGTGAGCGTAGCGGGTTAGCACATGATTTGCGATAAGTCGGCAGATTTGAGTGCAACACAGGCTCTGCGGTCTGTATGGTGGGAAATACTCGCACCATGTCCCCATCCACACGCACCTGGCCAAGTCTTAATGTCTCAGAACAGAGCCTTCCCACATTATCCTGAAACTGGTCGAGGTAAACCAAGCCGTAGGCCACTTGGCAACGAGAGGCTGACTGCTTTGACGAGTACCTGGCCGACAACTGCACAAAGCCGAGCCAGTTTTCCTCGTCAAGTTGTTGAGGCCTTGGGGATGCTACCTTGTCAACGCCAAAGGGTTGCTCTGCATCCTCGCAGTCAGCAGCTGAGCCACTGAGCCAGGCCGTCCAAAGTTCACAGCAGGTATGTCCCGTAACCTCATCCTCCGGAATTCTCTTGGCTGCATCAAGGACAACCTTGCAGCAGCCCATGCTTGTTCCAGAGATTGTCCAGCCACCCAAACTTAGGTTCTTGCCAAGCAGTTGCCGATTCTGTGCAAAGATACGGCCTGGGAGAATGAGAAAAACGTACGGGGCAGACAAAGGCAGACTTGATGCAATTCTCTGTTCGTGAAGCGGACAGGCCTCGCCGGCCTCGTGCAAGGGCAGCTCGAAGAGCCGCTTCAAAGCCTGTGCGTAGACGCGCTTTGAGCCCAACTGTTCTGCTTCATTGCACAGCCTTGTTAGGTCGTTGCTGGCCATAGGCCGTAGCCGTAGCTTTCCAGCACTGCCGTGTCTACCTCTCTTCTGTCACTCCTGGACTCTTTCTGAGGCCCAGGCAGTGGTCTCTCCCACCACGCGGACTGGACACCTCGGTTCCATTCTCGTACGTTCATTCCAGGGCACCGGGGACGGTCTTGGGCCACCAACCCATCAGACGTCTGGGCATGCTGCCAAGGCCTTACAGAGCTCTCCACACATCCACAAGCACTGGAGAGGAGGATCATAGGTGGCAGGCTCTTCGCCAAGGATGCAGTCAAGCAGGTCCCCAGTTGCCCTCTCAAGAGCAAGCAGGGGAGCTCATGGTCTTGTGGTGTCACGCACCAGCAGCTGCAAGATACTATAAGAACTCGCAGGCATGCTGTCATCATGCTGGCAAGCAGGCGTTCAGAAGACGGCCGGATGCGGCCTTGCATCCTGACCTAGTGGAGATGATTTCAGCACCAGGCACAAGCACTATCCGAAGATTTCCAACCAAATGACCAGAGGGGTTCGCACAAAGCAGCTTGGCCTGTAAGCTCCGCCAATGGCAGCCAAGAGACGAAGGTGAACGTTGCCAGGAGCTATCAACAAGCTTATGTTCCTGCCTGCCTGAGTGCTGTGATGGCTATGTCGTTCCGTGCGTCGGTTGTTCCATGGTGGCTGTGCTTTCGGAAAAACTGACAAGCACGGCAAGCGCGAAGCGCTGTGAATTTGTTCCGTCAAAGCGAGTGCGACGTCCTTGGAAATCGGCAGGCGTCGAAAAGCACCTCAAGAACCGCTCAACGAACCGCTCAAGAAGGCTGCGTGCTACGAGGCCTGTTAGCTGCTGGCCTTGGCTTCCGCATCGTCGAGGGCCTCTTTGGATCCCATATTGATCACATTCAATTTTGGTCCCATTTCGTGACTTTCCTCTCATCTACTCTCCAGAAAGCCCAGGCCTCGGAGCTGGACCGGGAGGCTGGAGACCAGGATCTGGGTTTCGCGGTAAAATGCTCGGCATGCTTTGCATGAATGCTTTTGCCTCTACTCGCCTCGCCCTGCGACTCAAGGGGCTCGCTTCAACATGGTCCATCGGCATGAAGCTGCTATATGGGGATGATGGACAAGAAAATAGAAACTACTTTTTATATGGTTTAGGGTTTAAGGTTTCCAGGAGTCTCCCGGGGTTTCCCAAAAGGCGATATAGTGATACTTGCCCAATAGTGGAGAATGCCCAATAATGGAGAATCACATGGAAAAGAGAATGGAAAGTTAAATGGATACTGTGCTTAATTACGGTATCTATAGGGATATGGGGTTTCCCAACATTAGGGGTACCCTTTCGGGGTCCCCATAATAAAGGACTACCGTATTTTGGGGTCTAGATTGGGGTCCCCATCTTTTGGGAAACTACCACAAATGGTTGGGCAAATGGTGTCTGTGCGTTGATGGTTAACCCACACTGACCAGGGACTTCTTTGGCTACACTGTTCGAAGCCGGACGCTAGACCCCGTAAGCTTTCGACCTGCCACTCATTAAAACACGCAGCATACCTCCGAAAGTTGGGCCAAAGTGGTCGGAGGTTTGGACACAAATTGCTGTCGGATTGCGCTAGGAGCATTTGATCTGCAATGCGGTTTGGAGCAGAAGTCATCATCTGGCAATGTTGTTTTGCCGGCTCGCCGCCGGAAGCTCATGCACAGGCCCTCAAGCCTGCAGATAGCTGCTGTGATAGAGATCTGCAATTGCTGCAGTGGCCTGTGATCGCACAGCGTCGAGCACAGTGCGTTGTTTTGCCTCGGCACGGCAAAACGGTGCTGCAATCAGAAGCACGCAGAGTGCGGGTTCGCGGCCAGGTGAATGCATCCCAGATTGTGACGCAAAAAAATTTCGTTGTCCTGCGGGACGCGCAGGGCGAGCGCTCCCGGCCCTGTGCTTAATCTGTTGCAGAGGCCATGCTCCTCGATCATGGTTCCAACTTGGATGATCTGAGCGTCCTCACAGAGACGGATTCATGGCCTTGTGCTCTTCATTAAAAGTGCAGCAGTCCTCTCCAGCCTTCTTACGCCGGTCCAGCCGAGCCTCTGCCTCAATTCGAACACAGAGCCACTTGTTGTCTCCAGGTAATGGCAGAACCTGCCGGGTGAGATGTCCCGAGAGCTCGGTCTGGTCCATCTTCACAGCAACCTGGCGCGAGGCGCACTGCTACAGCTCCTTTTGGAGGAAAATTAGAGGTGCCTGGAGGTGCAGCCAGACGGTGCTCGACAGCTTGAAATCCACGTAATGAGAGTTGGGCGCCTCGCGCACCTCAACTTCAGAAATGCCCAACAGGCCACGTTCTTCGGGATCGCGCGGGGACTGTGACTATGACTAAGCATGGGCACCTCCAAGATGTGGATAGAATCCCACACACCAGTCCTTCCATCACCTCAGGGACCCGATGCATAACACACTTATGTCTGGCAAAGCTTGCAAACACACTGCACTTGCACAGTGCGTGCTTGCTTGCTTTCTTGCTTGCTCGCTGTTAGTGCTGCAGAAGAAATGCTTTTTTATAGTCGTGCCGATCACAAGCCAAGCTGGACATCCAAATCGCAAAGGCTGAAACAAGAACAAGATGTTGAGTGCTTAGAGTCGCAAAGGTCGAAAGTCATTGCTCTCAAGCGTGAAATCAAAAGAGGGAAGGAATTGATGGACGCGCGTCCTGGGCGGTGATCCTCCATGTGCCATGCATTGCCATGCCTTTCGCATACTTTTTCTGGTACGGTAAGGATCCACAGGTTACTCTAATTCCTGTTCCGGTACAAATGGTCTCGCGGTACTGGCCCTTCTTGGTTCTTGGCACAGTGTTGGCTTGCTTCCTCATGCGTGTCATTCTATTCCTGACATCATGATAGTGTGCACCACCAGGTTTCCCACCCGATAATGCTGCGATCATGTGAGCAACTGTGAGCATCGCACCCAGCACTTTGGCCAGCTCTTTGTGGACCAGGAAGGCCCCAGCAAAACCCTGCCGCAGTTCAAGTTTGGGCCGTTTATGTCACAGGACAGTAGGGCAAGAACACTTCACAGGCCCTGTTGACAGCCTGACCTCATCCAGATCCCAGAGATACACCGAGGACACCGCGCCCTGCCGTTTCAGTGTTGCTGACTTCAAAGGGCGCGAGATGGCAGGAGCCAAAGAGGACAGACTTCTTTGCCGCTTTTGCTCCCTTCCTCGTAGTAGCTCATGACGTAAGCCTCGAACACCTGTCCAGCAGCAAAACGGTCCATGGTACTAAAGAGTGAGCCCTGCTACCTCGTTGAAGCTCTGCTCGAGTCGTTTCAATCTCGCAGATGGCCGAAACAGCCTTTCCTGTGCTTTGGCAGCATGGAGTCAACAAGGCTGGCCCTATGCAAGGGGTGGACAGTAAGCGGTTCAGCTTGAACCCATGGGGAAAGCAAATGTCTTCCGGATCAGTTCACAAGATACTTGTCATGCTATGGATTGTCCTCCTCGGCCTCACCGCCAGGTGGCACAGGGATGTACCTCTTAATCTCGGACAAAACCACCCCTGCGTGTCATGACCCAGCCAGAGCCTGTCAGACCACGGAGAACGATGTGAACCTTGAGCGCAAGCAGGCTTCGCGGCTTTGGCTAGAATGGTGCCTCTGCGCAAAGCCTTGCCTCCATCAAAGTTGTACTCTGATGCGACGAAATACCTAGCAGCGATGCACAACACTCGAAGTCCTGAATAAGCAGGGTGTTTGGCCTGTTTGCTTTGAGATCCTCCTTCACCTTCAGGGGTCTGGAGACATAGGGCGCCAGACTGGCCTCCTGTCGAGAGCAGCACGCTGCCAGTCTGAAAATCTCTCCGCCAACCGAGCAGACCGATCTGCATAGCACTTCTTTTGCGATGATCCAAGCTCCCGGGCCACCTGCAACGATAGGGCATGGACATCACAAGATACAGTGACCGCGAGCGCCCAACGAGCATCAATTCTGCCCTCGCAGCACTTTCAAGCTGCCAGTTTGCAACGGGAGCCATTTTTATCTGGTTGCCGGGCGGAGCCTGCCTTGCTACACATGACAGGTTTGCCTCAGCGGTTGTGCTGGGCACCGGGAGATCCTTTAGATTCGGAATGCTTTTCGACGACTGGATGCAAATCAGCTGCCAAAGAACGACCGTGCGCAGTGCCATGTCATCATTTCAACAACCAGTCGCCCCTGCTATTGCTTTCTGCCTGCTACAGCAGCTATGAGACCACTACTTGACAACAATGCGTGAATCCTTGTGGCACGAGACACGGAGCCTGCCCTCAGTCTCATGCATCATCTCTTTTGGTGAAGGTGGTTTGGAGAGGAATGAAACAAGCTCTTCAGCACGAATGCCTCCGCAAGCAATGTTTCCTTGGTTGCACGAACAAGGCTCTCACAGCACAGTCTGACTGGCTGTCAAATTACATTTTATGCACATTGCGCATGATCGCTCATGGGCTATGGCTTCATGTTCTTTGCGACAGAGCTGACTATAGCAACAGTCTTCCAATCAGCATACAAGGCTTTGCAAAACCTCTGCAGGTAGCAATCTCTTGGTTGCGCCACTTTCCAGTTGGAAGCTTCTGCATGAAAAGCATGAGCTGCTGAAAGTCCATCTGTTTCAGCTGCGGCGACCAGTAGATGAGAAACACCGCGCAGACCTGAGAACACATCATGACTGCGCCCTCAGTCATCACAACAATGCTGCAAGCTTGACCTTGAGAGCTTGGGAGGACATTCACAGAAGGCTGGGCCAGCCACGTAGACGTGGAAGGATGAGAAACCCTCCAAAGGCTCGGCAATGTAGGTATCCCATAGCCGAATGACACAGGGGAAAGGAAACTCTCGAAGCAGAAGGCAGTTCATCCACCGGAAGGAAAGCTGCAGGAAGTCGAGGCCCTCTCCCTCCAAGTGCTCGTACAACTTCTGGTCTATTCGATGAACAATTTCTTTCAGCTTAGCTACCATTTGCTGTATTCCTGGCTGCCCTGCCGTATAATGGTCTTGAATGTCACTGAGGAACTTGGTCAGACACCAATATGCACCGGCCTCAACGGCCTCCAGCATGTCGTCAGTAGCAGCATCCACGTCTATTTCTTCAGGCACGCAATCAAGCTTTGACGCCAGCAAGACAACGACGAAAGGCGTAGCAATGTCGTTGATGCCTTGCACATAGCCACTAGCTGGGTGTCGGATGGACCAAATAAAGAGAACTCGCTCCAAGAGTTGGTGTATCCGCGGGTGGCTGAAAATTGGTAGGCCAGGAGATGTCCGTGGAATGTCAACTCGGATCTGCCGCAATATTGCGATGGAATCCACATCACTCAGACCATCTTGTCCTGACTCGATGGGAATGTAATGTCTCCGCCTAAGCTCGTCATACTCCTCCCGCTTTTTTTGCAATCCTGGTCCCTGCCTGTCTTTTACCGGAGGCAAATATCCCAGCAACATCTGCCATGCTTCCGCACGGATTTTTGGGTCTTCCTCCGGGGCTCCAGACCACAAAAGCTCCCGCAAAGCTGCGAGATCCACACTAGGCAAGGAGAGCCTCGGCACTTGGGCAGCCAAAACTTTTACATGATGAGTAGATACCACCCAAGGTCTTCCGAAACGGTTGTGTTGGCTCATTCAACACGGGCAGGTGACAGATATGCCGCCACTACAATTGCTGCGGCTCTGGGCCCTCTGCGACACGGAGTTGAGTGCTTTCGGCAGCTTAAGTCTAATAGTTCCTACATGTTCCTACGAGCTGAGGTACATCTCTAGGCCTGGTTGACCCGGCCAGGTGGCAAGCGGTAGAATTTCTGCGCTTTCGCAGAGCGGCCAGTGTCGGAACCAGAAGATGAAGAGACGCTCTGCATGGATCGTCTTGGCTCGGTAGAACTACCGACAATTCAAAGGCTTTTGATACTGCTTGTTGCTGCTAGGAAGAAAACCTAAACGGTCAAGGGCTAGATTCGAATCATGTCTGTGGTGTTGGCTACCGTTCAGTCTGCCTTGCAGCTTGCAACTGATTAATTCTGGCTCCATTTGTCAGTGCTATCATCCCTCGCATGAAAATCATGGGACAGCCTTGCCTACATCTGCTGTCTAGGCCTGTGAAAGCTATGAGAGCTGGCCAGTTTGCGCCGGATAGACATCGTCATCAACACAAGGGCCGGGCTTCCCAACTTCAATTCATGTGCTGGTAAACTACTCCCAAGACCTCAGGATAAGCAAGCTGGATCGAGGGCTGTGGATATGATCTATCTCGAAAGAAAGTTGATCAAGACAGTGCCGCATCTTGAAGCGCGCCTTCGCTGCCCATGGTCTAAAGCAGCCCACTGGCAACGCCATCTGCAACTACCCTTCCCAGAGACTATGCAACCTCATGGTTTCATTTGCAACTTGAGCCCATGTAAACAAAGAGAAGAGTATGGCAATGCAGGCTGCTGTGGACTGTGGACATGATGCGGTGTCCAGATGGGGAGAAACAGCGACCAGCGCATCAATGTCGGCTTCCAAGTCCTCGCTGGCACAGAAGAAGTTGCTTTGTTTGGTTGCCAACCATGAACCATGATTGTAAGCTTTGGAGCAGCGCGGATGACAGCTAGAATTCTATGCACGGTCGAGGGTTGCAGCGGCGCCTACCATCCTCTACTGGCTCCACGACCATGAAACTGAAACGCATCCCTCTCAGCAATCACTTTCGCACTAGGAACCATGGGAATCCCAACTCCAGATAGACTCTTCAGATTTAGAGTTGAAGGCCAAATCCATTCCCGTTGAAGCAATCACCTTCTCAAAAGGAAGGCAAGGGGATCCCTAATTCCTGCATTAATAGTTCTATCATGCGAGTTCAAAAGTAGTAACGGAGAAAAGCTGGAAATCCAGAAAAACCTGTTGGATTACCTTCAGACTCTGATGTTCGCATGTTTGGGCACAAAAGCAGCTAAAGAGTAGAACGTTCAGGAAACCCTTACTTCTTTCTCACGTTCCTGTACTGTGTTTCCATCTCTAACATCCACTCCTCAAACCCGTGTTTTTTTCTGGGAAACCACCCTTCAAACACAATTCCACAAGTATGTTTGCCTAGCTTTCTTTCAGCGACAAACCGTGCAAAACAACTCGAAAAGCATGATGAACTTGAGGACGTAACCCAACAAATCCCAAGGGGTCCACAGGTGCGGAGGAGGCGGGCCTTCAGGCTCCGTGAGGGCGGGAGCTGCGCAAGCGACTCTACCCCTGGGTTAGCTTCCCTTGCCTATGATTCGCATCCCACTCCTCCCTGGCATACAAGTGAATGATCCCCGGTCCAACAAATGAAGTAATATGAGCAGTGTACACGTTGAAGGAGAGATATGCTGGCCTATTGAATGTCTTTGAAGGCAAACACAAAACACTGTCAAAGCGGGAAGGTGCCCAAATCCAGTTAGACGTTGTACATTATTTCTATCCTTATGTTCAAGAACGATGGCAACACGACAAAAGTAGCTTGATGTAGCTTGTGCACATTGCTGGGCACCAAGCCTTGAAAAGCCGCTGAATCCACGAACATCCTCATTCTTTCTCACGTTCCTTTATTGCTTTTCTATGGCTTCCAAGTTCAAACAAAGAAAAGCTTCTTGAATCCATGCCATGTCTTGGAAACCTAGGACACCTTGTGATTCCAGATGACAACCCCTTTCTCACTCAAGCCACCCTCCCGTTCAGCGATCGACCGCCCCAACCACGTTCGATTACCTCGCTGTTTGGTCAAGGTGGATTCGCCTGGGTGCAAGCCTTTGAAACTCTCCTTCGCGAGCCCAGCCTGTAGTTGCTGCATAGATGATCCCGGTTCTTGATTCGCTGGAACTCCCTTCCCCCCCCGCCCTGCCCCCATGCTTAAAAGGTCGCCATCCTCGTAACTGTCGTTGTTTTGAAACCTCAGAGCCGCCATCCTAGTAACTGTCGTCACTTTTAGCCCCTCGTGCCTTTTATCGCGTCTCAAAAGCACCAACAGTTACAGGATTGAGGTGGTCCTCATCGCGGTCCTCGCAACTGTCATCGCTGTTGGAGCCTCATGTTGTTGTCGCAATAAAAGGCAGTCACAGAGATCGGCCCGGCCATCTTATACAAACGTCCTATACAGCCATAACTCTCTGTAAACCTTCTTGAAATAACAAACACTGTTATCATAAACCCTCTGCAGCCTGTTCAGAAACCCTCCACAAACCATCCATAAACCTAGTCCCAATGTAAGCCACAAGACCCAGACCACAGGCCACAGGACCACGCGGGGGCGTGGGGGCAGTAGGTTATAAACCCTCTACAAACACTATAGGCCCTTCATGAACCTTCATTTAAACCACAAGATCCAGACCTCAAGCCACAGAACCCGGGGGAAAATAGTTTAATCCTAACTTAAAGCCTAGAAGATACTTAGAGCCTCGAAGATAGCCGCCATACAAGGTGGGGTCGTTCATGACCTCGAACCCCATACCACCAGAGGGGGGAGGGGGAAATCTCACTTTTCCCTACATCATTTTCAGGGATCAAGTTATATTTTGGGGTTATATTATGGGGGCTATATAGGGATACCCGGATCCCCGCACAGGAAGGACTTCAATCATATTCCGGATAGGCTCCTTGGGCGGTAGCCTCTGCAGAAGTCCCAAAGCCGCGGCTGTCAGCCGCTGCTGCTGGCGCTTATCCTGCCATCACTGTAGGGTTCAGGGTTTAGGGGGAAGGGTCAAGGGTTTAGGGTTAAGGGTTTAGGGTTAAGGGTCTAGGGTTTAAGGTTTCTTCTGCCAACAATTTCTCAAGTTTAGGAACCCTTTAGGGGGCATCCCCGTAAGAAGACTTCTAATATGTTGCATGTACGGGGGACCCCCCTTCAGGGAAGCTCCCATATCATCTACAGCTTTCTACTTACACTTCTACTTTCAGGATTGCCTGAGCAAGCACGAAGAAGGACCTCCCACAGTTGAGCTATACTTCTAAACTCCTACTACTATCACCCTCAATAACTCCCATACTACTCCCCTACATAATCCCCTATAGAGGTGGTTGTCAAAATTATGGTCCCTTTTGGGATCCCTATTATACTACGGCACCTAATATTTGGGGTACCCAAAAAGGGACCACAATTTGGACAACCACCCATATAACCCAGTATAGTACTTTCCATTTTCTTGTCCATTATCCTCCTTATAACCCCAATATAACCCCTAATATAACCCCTATATAACCCCACTATAACCCTGATATTACCCTAATGGGTACCATAGTTTTGAATAACCCATTTGAGGAGTTTAGACGATGAGGTGGAAGACATCTCTGCCTCAGACAGCGCTGAGTTGACCAAGTCTTTGAGCCCAGCCATGGCGCAGGAGGCATCTGAACAGCGATACCAAGGCTTTAGGGTAGCTAAAGGTTTAGGGTTCAGGGTTTAGGGTTTAGGGTTTAGGGTTTAGGGTTTAGGGTTTAGGGTAGTTCAAGGTTTAGGGTTGAGGGGTGATTAAAGGTTTAGGATTCAGGGTTTCGGGTGTAGGGTAATACGCAGTACCACGCCTCGTCTGCTCTCATACCTGCCAAATAAAATGAGAGTTTTTTCTTCGGCTGTCAAGGTTCTTGCCTGCTTACACCATGTGTTCTGCCCGAGGGGTAGTGGCGGTGGCAACATACAGAATTGTCTGTTCACAAAGTTGGGACCCTGGGGTGGTTGCGAAGAACTTCCGAGTTCAGAGCTTGGAGTTATCCGGCAATTCTGTTCTAGGTGAGACACTGCTTTGCGCAAGACAGCCGGGGCTTGTGCCCTGTTGTTGTTTATCTATTGCTCGTCGGAATTGCTACGCTACAAGAGCTTCTGTAGCCTCAGCTTGCGCGCATGATTAACTCCTGAAAGTTCTTTGTGCTTCTGGGAGTCCGTCGTGGGATCAAAGCAGGATGCCCCGCCTGATCCGCTCCAGCAGGCTTGTTTTGAGACGCGACGGGTCCTGTCCTCTCCCAAGGACCGCAGCTTCTTTGCGCACCCTTGTGCCATAAGTACTTAAAAGAAGTCTTGCGCGCTGTGCGCATAACTTCTGTACAGAGGGCTCTACCTGCCAAGCCCCTTTGGGGCTCGGAAGTCGAGGCGATCAACATCAAATAAAACTAACATTACGGTGGTGCCCAGCGCAAGGCATAACAACTGCCAGAACTGCATGGATTTCCAGAAACCCTGCCCAGCAGTGGCAGCCGCTGCTGCTGCAGTGATAAAGGCTCGGGCTGACCAGTGGCCGCGATAGTGATGTGCGAAATGTTGGAAATGAACGCTCATGGTACGCATATAGATTCCAGCACAAAGCCGCATAATGACATCCCCTAGGGTAATGCGACAAGGGATACTGGAGAGACCACTGAAAAGTAGGAAACCCACCCATCCAAGTTCGCGGTAAACACATATGCCCATGCCGGTGACAACGTCCATGTTCACGGGACATGCTTTCGTCTTGGCGTCTCTCTCACCCAAAAGGATGGTCTTGAACCAGCTGCCACGCTCATGCCCCACGAAATAGGCAAAGCTCACAAGGATTACAGCAGTCGAAGCCAGGCAGTGGCGATAGTTGCTTATGCCCAGGCTAGACAAATCCAGGCTGAGGCCCGAAACGTCAAGATCCTCTGGGCAGGAACAGGGTGAGCTTGGTTGCGGACCTTTTACTTACCGCCACTATCATAAACCCCCTCATCTGTCCAGGAGGGCCTGCTTTTCCTGAATATCATTGGGGAAACTTGAATTGTGCCACAAGAACGGCTGCAGTTGGGGAGGGGGAATTGGACGGTGTTGAAACGTCTCTAGGAACAATTCAAATGTTTTTACGGGGTGGCCGCGTTTTGAGGCTAGACTAGACCGGGGTCACCGGAGATCAAGCCATACCCAATCATGGAGATGACCTGCACATGTGCTTCTTTTCAGGTCATTGGATGGGAGATGTGGTTGACCATCTCGGGGTGATGGCTTTTTGTTGTCACAACTTTGTGAATGTTTGTCACTTCATTCAGCTGGCTGCATCTGGAAAGAATTTCACTCTGGCGCGATTTCTTTGCTCTGCATGCCCTATTATGAAGTCCGTTGCTTGCACTGCATTTGCTCTCAATCTCCCAATTTGGGAGGCCTGGTCCTTTTTCATGTCAGTATCTCAATTGCACTTACAACGTGGGAATATTGCAAGGCCCAGAAAATCACTGTCCTCCCAATGTCCTCTCCACATATCTGCACATCGCAACATGTCATACATGATCCCAGTTTTAGGCGCTGACATCATACAATTATTCTGGGCTGAAAGAGCCTGGTCAAGCATTGGGCCAGCTCAATCAAACAACACAAAATGGAGTGAGGTTCGATTTGTTCAGTCTCTATTGCGGCGTCTGACAGCTTTCGCTGATCTCTCAACCTACTCACAGTTTCTTGAATGCAGGTATGTCTTGCAACCACGCGACAAACGAACTCAGCAACTCCAAGCTTCGTACGACGCATGAAACCAAATAAAAGTATCAATACTTGCGAAGTACTCACGTACGCAGACAGCGGAATAACACGTCCTCTTTCTTTTTTTGGGTCCTTTAAGAAAAACTTTGACAATGGCCACAAATTCTCTTGGACATCGCCCGGCGGACTTGAATTCTAGGGCACATGTTCACGACACTTACATGTTCGGTTCTTTTCCGTTTACACTAACCCTTAAGGCTTTTTGTCGTAAATAGTTCTATTGAAATGTTCATCATCCATACTAGTATCATAAATGCATTTGTCTTTCTAGCTTGTGTGCAAGAGAGAGGTCTAGCCATCATTCTCCTGCCAACGATCCTTTTTGTTGGAGCCGAGCCAGGCCAAACCCTTCATACAAACAGACAAGTCTTTTTCAGTCGAAACGACAGTGTCGAGATGCCCTTCACTTTGGGCGTGGTTACCTGTTGACAATACATGTTCGCAGGCACTGCTTTGGAATTACTACGGCTGGCTTCAACATTCTGTTGTCATTATTGTTCTGCTACATGTTCATCGCCATACGATTCTTGCCGATGTTCTGTGCCATAGCCTCTTGCGTCTGGGCGACTGATGAGGCCGCATGCGCGTGGAAAGCGGCTTGTGATTTGGCATTATTGCCACCGTTGCCTGTCCCTCAAAAATGAGAAATACAAGTCGCACGAGCTCGTACTGCTGGTAGCCCCGTTACAGTCGCTGCTAATATACTTGTCATGCGGGGTGATCAGTATCACCAATGCTCTTACGCACTCGTCGGCATGATATCATGCCGGGAGCAGGGATAGAATTGAATAATCAGCATTCTCGTGAGTTTCACCTGGCCTCAAGGGGCAGGGCAATCTAATGCCCACGGCCTCAAAAATCTAAGGCGCACGCACGCTCTGGCGCATCCAAGCCGCACGCAGGGAACAGTCACAAGATCAAAAGTGACGGCAATTTTGCATTTCGCGATCAGGACCCACCCTTCGTGACCAGGAACCCCCGATCCCTGTGACTGTTGACACTTTTGAGATGCAAAGATCAAACGCAAGTCCAAAAATGACGACAGTTTTGCGCTTCGCGACCAGGACCGCCCCGATCCCTGTGACTGTTGAAACTTTTGAGATGTGAAAATCCAACTCAAGTCCAAATTTAGGGTTTACGGGCTTTGGATTGAAAGTCTAGTGTTCAGGGTTTAGGGGTTTTGGATTTAAGGTTTAAGGGCTTTGAAATTAGGGTAAGGTTCCTGCCCTGGCTCCGGACAGATTCCCCAAGTTGAACATCAATGTTCCCGACATGCACACTCGTAACAGCAACCTGCACATTTGCAACTGTCACACTACGCGGCCCCTCCTTCAGCCCTTCACCTAAATCTCAAACTCCAGCACCCGGTTTAGGGTTTAGAGGTTTTGTATTTTTCATTCCCGGGATTTTGGGTTTAGGGTTTAGGCTTGGGGGCTTTTGGATGTAGGGTTTATTGTTGTCGTCTTGGATTTAGGGTTTAGGCTTTAGGGATTTTGGATTTGGGCTTTTTTCTTTTTACGCGCCTTTCTCCGCCGCACAGTTGCTGGGAGACCGTCCGATGGACTAGGCGGGTTTTTTTAGCTCCAACCCCTCAGTAGTGCAACTCCATCTTTGTGATGGATTTAGGGTTTGGGGTTTTGGATTTTGGGTGTAGGGTTACGGGGTTTTGGATTTAGGGTTTAGGGGTGTGGGGGGGGAGGGGTGGGGGAGGGGGGGGGGNNTTTAGGGGTGCAGGGGTTCAGGGGTCTTGGATTTGGGGTTTAGGATTTCGGGTGTTGGATTTTGGGTTTAGGGTGTAGGATTTAGGGTTTTGGATTTAGGGTTTAGGGTTAGGGTTCAGGGTTTAGGGATCTGGATTCAGGGTTTAGGGTTTAGGGATTTTGGATCTAGGGTTTAGGGTTTAGGGTTCAGGGGTTTTGGATGTAGAGTTTGGGGGTTTAGGGGTTTTGGATTTAGGGTTTAGGGTTCAGGGGGTTTGGATTTATGATATTGGGTTTAGGGATTTTGGATTTAGGGTTTAGGGTTTAGGCTTGGGGGCTTTTGGATTTAGGGTTTAGGGTCAAGGGGTTTTGGATGTAGGGTTCAGAGTTTAGGGTTTTGGATTTAGGGTTTGAGGTTTTGGATTTTGGGTTTAGGGTTCAGGGGTTTTTGAGTTAGGATTTAGGGGTTTGGGATTTAGGGTTTCGGGGTTTTGGATTTAGGGTTTGGGGTCTTGGATTTAGGGTTTAGGGTTACGGGGTTTTCGAGTTGGAGGTTTAAGGGTATGGGGGTTCAGGAGTCTTGGATTTAGGGCTTAGGGTTTCGGGGTTTTGGATTAAATCCAAAACCCCTAAACCCCAAATACCCAAATCCAAAACCATTAGACGCTAAACCTTAAATCCTGAACCCCTAAACCCCAAAGTGTCAGCAGTAAATCCAAATCCCTTAAATCGTAAAGATTAAACCCTAAATCCAAAAGCCCGAAAACCCTAAACCCTAAACCCGAAGGGTTTAGGGGTTTTGGATTTAGGGTTTCGGGGTTTTGGATTTAGGGTTTAGGGGTTTGGGATTTAGGGTTTCGGGGTTTTGGATTTAGGGGTTTTGGATTTAGGATTTAGGGTTTAGGGTTGAGGGATTTTGGATTTAGGGTTTAGGGTTGAGGTTTGAGGGGTTTTGGATTTAGAATTTGGTTTAGGGTTTAGGGGTTTTGGATTTACGGTTTAGGGTTTAGGGATTTTGGATCTAGGGTTTAGGGTTTAGGGTTCAGGGATTTTGGATTCAGGGTTTAGGGGTTCTCGATTGAGGGTTTAGAGGTTTTCGCACTCGATGATGGATCGTGTTCGAGTGCACACGATGTCTGCAGCATCCATGTCCAAACCATTGTAATTTTCGTGTTCCAGGAGCATACGGTTACCAGAACATCCATGCCCAAACCATTGTAAGGTTCGTGTTCGAGTGCACTCGATGGTGAGAGCATCCATGCCCAAGCGCTACTTCCGTTCGTGTTCGAGTGCGCCTCCATGCCCAAACCATAAGAACGATCGGAGCGCACTCGATCTTGAGAGCATCCATGCTCAAGCCATGATAACGAACCACGAGAGGGTCGTCGACTACGAAAAGAACGCTGAGGAAGCTCCACGCGCCAGCGCCGCCGCCCATCCAAAACAGCGAGAGGGTGGTCGAATTCCGACAGGCCGCGTGCACCTCAGACGCAAACCCCGCGTGCACCTTGGACGCAAAATGCG